TTATTTCTGCCTTACTGTTCCCTATCAAGGCTTATTTGAATGGTTTTGGGATTCTCCAGAGTCCTGGGGCAACAATGACGTCTTTTTAAAAAAGGACCCCAAACTTCAGCTCCTCATGTCAACTTTAAAAAATGCCCGGGACGCTGACTGTGGACGTTAACTCTACACATTAAAAACATTTGCCTTGCCTCCCTCTCCTGAAGGACCCACCTGACCAATCAAGAGCAGTGGGGTGTGTTTTAAGGGTCAGTATTTCAAAACCATTGTGTTTCACTCTCTGCCGTATAAAACTGTAGTCTCCTTTAAGGGCTTCCTCTTAGCCATTTACTCCTCGGTAACTAACGGGGAAATGGCACGAGGTAGTAAGATCACAAGTGGCATTAACGCAATGCAAAAATGCTGCCCAAAGCACGTTTTATATAACTGCAAATAAAAATGCTACCAAACAAACCTGCTGCATCTCGTATTTTAACCTCTGCCACTTAAAGCAGGAGTCCTCGTTAAACTCCGAGCCTCCCAGGGCAGGAGGCTGGCCTTGCGGGGGAAATGGCTCCCAAACCAGGAGGCCATGCGCATGAGCTAACCCTGGAAGGAAGTGGGCAGGCAGGAGGGAAGAGCAGAGGGCGGCCGCACACCCCGCCTCCTGAGAGGGCCGGGGCAGCAGTTCCCAGGTCCACCTCCTTTCTAACCTCCAGGTGCCAGAATACACATGTACTTTTACTTTCTTAGGAGAAAATGTGTCATTTGGTTTCCTTCCAGTTTATGTACTCTTGCCAGCAACTAAAAACGCTTAAAGAACCAAAAAGAATTACTACCCAGAAACAGTGGTCAAAGTTCCAAACTTTGATCAATAAAACTGCTCATCTACTCACAAATTAATCTGCAGCCAGTAAAGTCGCACATTTTCCAGGTTATGAGAACACCTGCACCGTGAAGCATTTATTTCACTCGTTCAAGCAATCTTCAGGAGTATATAAGTATTTATAAAAGAGAACCTACTATTTTTACCCACCTATGATTTTTCCCCCCTAGCAAAACCTTGTTAATTCTTTCCCAGATCCGAAGCCTGCTGAAGGCAAGGTCTGTATCCTGGGTAGTTTCGGTGTACTAGCACCGGCACAATGACCAGGACGCTGTGGCTGTTCTGAAATGTCTAACAGGTTTAACTTCATTAACTCAGGCCATTCTGATTCTGAATTGATGACGGGGGCCAATTTTCAATTTTCATTTGGATCATTTGTTAAAAAATAAAAAAAAAATATTTTTTATTTTTGCAAAGTAAATTAACAGGTGAAGTAATAGGCAATGGAGGTTACTAATTAGAGTAGGTCTCAGGAAGCTCTCTCCCCACCCCACAGCCATGCCCCTCTTCATTAACAAACCACGCTGTCACCCAAGAATGGGACCAGCTCAGATCTGGTGGAGAAGGCGATGCCAAGAACCCGGTCTGTCCCCACCACCCCTCCTCCCCCTGCAACCAGGCCATGGTGACGGTGTTCGCCTGCGGGAGCTGATGATCTCTGTCGAGTAACCACTTATAGCCTCCCTAACTTTCTCTCTTCTTTTGTTTGTATCATCAGCCTGTGAAACCAGAGAGCCTGCCAAACTGCACAGGGAAGTGTGAGCTGTGCTTAAAATACGAGCCGCAGTGTATGGGGGGATTTAGGTTCCTTCTTTCTTTTCTCCTCTCCAAGCTATCAGCAGATCAAATCCTTTTCCCCTGTCAAGCCTTCCTCCATGCACAAGATCTGAAATTTGCTAAAATAGGTCTCTCGGCACAGCTATAAAGGGTCCGGAGATCAGAGATGAACACTGCTCAGATGCCGGCTGAAATGCCCCGGCAAGGACGTGGCAGGTGGGAGAGATTTAAATGCCACAATTCCTCCTCCCGTGAGTCGCCAGTCCACCTACGTATCTTCATAAAGAGAGCACAGGCCCTGTGGCCGAGGCGAGCGATATTTATGGAAGGCTGGCCAAGAAACAAGCCTCTCTAAATTGCGGAATGCCCCTACCAGTTAGCTGAGGAGACGTCTAGCAATAGTCTAGGGGACACACACACACACACACACCGGTGACCCAACCCTCCCTCCTTCCCCTGCCCATTCTTAAAGTGGATCTAAGTTCTCTGCGGGTCCACTCCACCACTTCAGGGTTCAGGAAGGACTCCAGATAATCTTCTCTAGTAAGACCAGCGTTCAAGGTTGCCCCTCTTGCTGGCTGTACACGACTGGGCCCTTGCAGCCGGTGACAGGGTTGGACACTGGCCTTGCTGAGGACCCTGAAGCTCTCCACCCCACACTCTGCTCTGTGGATGGCAAGCAGCAGCCCTCCTCTCCCCGGAGGAAATCCCCCCAAACTGACTTCACATATTTAGCCCCTAGAGGAACTTTGTCCCTCTTGGAAAAGAAGTTACCTAAAAATGCCATATGTTTTTAAAAAGCAAGTCGGAGGGAATATAAATCTAGTATTAAAAAAAGTCAGAAATGCTCTCTGATACGGGGAGTGATATGATCAGCCAGATTGTGTGTTTCTTTTCAATCTCTAAGTGGAGCTCTCCAACGTGGAAGACGTTCCCCCCAATAGTATATTGTCATTTTCCCAGTGCACTTGAGGCCTGATAAACTCAACAGGACTTGTGGTATTTCTAAGGCCGGGAGAGCTCCCAAGAGGAAGGCAAAAGAATGGACAGTCATTTGAATCACTGAGTGACAGGCTGGGCCGGCTCCGTGTATACATTAATAAATTAGAATTTTAATTGCGCCTCTGTCTGCAGGAGATGGCCCGGTGCTTGAATATGTACCAACAATTGGCTATGTTCTGGAATCCGCAGCTGCCCTCCACCGCTGACCTCTGAAACACAATTCCCAGTCTGACGACGGAAACTGTTCAGTTTGATCCTTTCAACTTATTTGAATCCTGACAAATAAGCTCACAGCCGAAAGGTCAACACAGTCCTATTTCATCCTCTGGAGCTCTTCTTAAGACATGTGCACAACAAAGCACGTCCCCCAGCACCTGACACGGGCCCCGTGGCACCGCACCTCATTAAAACGTCCCCTGCACTCCCACGTGCGGGCAGGCTGCGGGCTGCCAACGGTTTACTAAACAAGGCCTTCAGGAGGCTTCCGCCAACAGAGAAGCTGCAGCCAGACTCTTCCAGGAAGGTGTCCCCACGCCCTGCACCTTCCTGGAGAGCACAGCTGTCCCAGCGGAAAGAGGACTAGAGGACTAGAACCTGCAGCCCAAGGTCCAGTGTTTGGAAATGGACCTCAGCTCATCCTGACCCACGAAAATTCAACCCAAGCAAGAATTTAGGCGATCTCATGATCCAATGAACCGGCACCAAGGTAAGCCCACCTGTCACCTCTTGTGCGTTCTGTTCCGACATCTCCAGGGTGAGAAACCTCCCATTTGGGGGTCCTTACCCTCAGCTCTGAAAGCACTGTCCAACACCTGGTTCCTGCCAGGGCCCTATCCCAAGCACGGACACAAGCATCCCAAGTCAGGTTTCTTTGAAATTTTTGTTATAATTCTCACCTCCAACTCAAAAATCTAGATCAGATTTTTATGAGCTCTCTGCTTCCACTCCATTAACCTCTTGGCCTCAATACACTGAACTGATAAGTTGCTAAAGTAATTTTGTGTGTGTGTGTGTGCTACTAGGGATAAACCCAGGGGTGCTCTACCACTGAGCTGCACACCTACCCCCAGCCCTTTTCATATTTTTTATTTTGAGACAGGCTCTCACCAAGTTGCCCAGGATAGCCTCAAGCTTACGATCCTCCTGCCGCAGCCTCCCAAAGCAGGCGTATGCCACTGGTGCCCGCTTAAAACAATCATGCTTGTCACCTTTGCATAAAATTGCTTTCCACCTTAAACAGATGATTCAGAAGTCCTCTAAAGACATGCAGAGAGGAGGGTGTGTCCATGCCATTACCAGGCACCACGCCCCGTGAGGGTGCTGGACACTGCTGACATTTTGGGCCAATACATAATCTTGTGCTCTGTGGGGGGGGGCACCCTGGGCAATGCAGACCATTAAGCAGGAGCCCTGGCCTGTACCGACAAGAGGGGCCTCCAGGAAAAGCCACCTTTTTATACAATGGGACACAAAGCCAACGAGTGGAGAAGGAGGTGGAGGTTTCTGGAAGAACACCTGCAAGACTGCCCCGTCCTGGGTGTGGATTCCCCGGAAAGAAACTCAGCACATCACACACCTGCACCGCACCTCCTCTGCAGCGCCAGCCAGACGCCCATCCACACCTGAGTGGGCAAAGGCGGGGTGTGTGCGTGTACGGTGTGTTCACACCTGTGTACGTGTGTGTGAAAGCACGGAATCCTGTCACTGCAGCTAAACGGATGAAACCAGGCACAGAGATAAATGTTGTTTTTCATTTGTGGAAAGAACAACAAAACAAGTTGAGCTGAAAGTGGACGGTGATTACTAGAGCCTGGGAAGGGCTGGGGGGTCATAAAAGAAGGGCGCTTGGATTGGGTCAGTACGTGCTCCGTTCTTACATGAATACACTGAACCCATCAATATGGGCAATTTATACATGTTAGTAAAACCACTGCTAGATGACCCCCACTGGCCACAGGGGGAGTCAAAACCATGTCCCTCTGAGTACGACTGTGCTGGACATAAGGGGAATCACCCCCTTCCTAGTCTACATGACCACGGCAGGGCAGGTCTGAGCACCATCAGCCGGTACTGCCACCCGAGCTCTGTCCTTAGCAGCCCGACACCTGCAAATGCCCACCCTCCCGGCGCGTGGCCAGGGTAGCTCTTCTTGCTACCAAGAACGACCCTTTTGCTCAACTCGACACTTTCCATGTGAGGTCACGCTCTGCTGGCGCACTGAGAGCTCACCGTCCGCAGATGCTCTTGTTTCACGATCAGCAATTCTCAACGCGGTTCCCTTCTGAATTGCCCAGGAGCCGCCCAGAGGGTGCCGCTGCCCAGAGGGTGCTGTGCCCATGAGGTGAAGCAGGAGACTTACCTGAAGGGCCGGCTGCTTGTCATTCCTCTTGGGAGACTTTAGTCCACTAACTTGCTGCTGCTGCTGTTGCTGCTGCTGCAGGAGCTGTCTGGCCACTTGTAGAGCCTGCGAGAGGGGACAAGAACACACCCGTCAGGACACAGGACCGGGACTGCCGCTCAGAAGGGTCCGGGAAGCCTACTCCAGGGCTGGCCCTGCCTTTCCCGTTTCCAGGCACAGGAAATGGCAGACGACACCTCCCTCCCGTCTGTGCTGAGAACTTTCCAGAGCCTGTTTCCAGGTCCTTGCACTGGGCCAGTTTCACCCACAGCCCCCAAGCCCAGTGACCCAGTAAGCGGACGCTTTATCCCACCCCAAACCTGCCACAACGCTTGAAGTACGAGTGGCCAGCTCCTGAGGAACCTAGCAGGCAAAGATGGAAAGTTAGGAGAGCTATTGGGGGCACGTGGGCGGCACCACTGTCTTCCCAGATTCTCTGGTGGAACTTGGGGACACTTGGGAACGCAGGTTGAAAGTGACACGTTCACTCCATGAGGCCAGAGGAAGAGGGAAGTGGGATGACAGGAAAAGCGTGTCCCGTGGACACGGTCGTTTGGATGGGGTGACGGGGACTGGCCAGGCATTCCTAGGACAATCTCACTGGATGTCAGGAGAGAAAACCTGCAAATTCACCTCCAGCCACCTCAACCCAACGTCTACATCACCCTTTCAAGTGTATAACAGGGGACAGTTTCAATTTAAAGGCAGAGTCAGGGAGGTGGCCTGAGCACAGGGTCAGGTAAAAGGACAGTGGGAGAGTTCTGTAAGGGGAGCCACTTAGGGCAAGCCGATGTTTTTTATAAAAGCTCAAGTGAAATAAGTGTCATTATCGAACCATCACAAAGATATTTGCTGTCAAAGACTTAAGAACAGCTGGCAGCGGGATCAGCGCACAAAACCGAGGTGGGTGAGCAGGCGCTGTGCTGCAAATTCCCACCCAAAGGCGGCTTCTCCGGCGGAGCCAGCTGCGAACCAAGAATGGAGTCCTGGAGGGGACATCCCAACTGAGGAGTGCAGAGAGAAAACAGGGTCCCCGGAGGGTCCCATCAGAGCGACTTCTCCCCGGCAATGACTCTGGTTCCCCTGGAAGAGGCACTTCTAGAGCCGGCCACGGCCTGAACAAGGTGTGGCCCAGGCTCCCAAAGTGAGCACAAAGCACTTCCAAGGGAAGCGGGTTCCTCAAAGAAGAGGAGTCACTTCACGGGTGATGAGAACCACGTGTCCAGGTATAGGAAGTTTAATGGTAAAGACGAAGTCACGGAGGGTTAGGTGGCAGGGATTCCTGCACACTGGGCACAGGAAACAGGGTGGTCAAGGGCAATGGTCCTCAGGAGCAGGTGCTGAGGAAGGCTGGACCTTCGCAAGCAGTTCTTTCAAGAAGACATGCTCATGACGGGCACAGTGGCGCACACTTATAATCCCAGTAGCTTGGGAGGCTGAGGCAGAAGGATTACAAGTTTAAGGCCAGCCTCAGCAACTCAGTGAGACCCTGTCTCAAAATAAAAAATAAAGGGGGCTGGTTCAATTTCTGGTTACCCCCCCTCAAAAAAAAAAGACACACTAACCCAGGCTCCTCGTGGCACAACTGTATTGAGCCTCTTAAAGGCACTGTGTAAGGCTGAGGGCAGCCTCTGTATCTCAGAGGCGCAAAGGAAGGTGTAGAAACAGAGCACAGAAAAGCATGATAAGAGCTTGAGACGCTGGGGGAGAAGTCCCTGTGGGGCCCACGCCTGCCCACACGCACACCGCACTCACCCCTGAAGCCCACCAGCTGCAGGCCCAGGCTCCCTCTCTGTGCAGGGACAGGCACAGTTGAGCAGGCCTGCCTGTGAGGGCCACATGTACTCCAAGATGCCTGGGAGCCCTGCCTGGGCCCTAGCCCGCCGTCTGCGAGGAAGCTTCACCACGGCCGGACCCCGGGTTCCCCGTCTCCTTGGAGACGCTCAGTACACGCGTAGGTGTAAAGTGGGCAGCGTGAAGATTTCATTTATATCCCCTGTGCAAGGTGCCTGCGGGAGCAGAGCCCCTCCTACACGTGTGTCCCCTGGACGCCTTCACGCGGGGCTTTGGGGCTTCTTCAAGCAGGAAGGGAACTGCTCGGTGTCTTAAGTGCTACCATCAGAGTCCCGGCGTTAAGAGACTCAGCGGCAGAGAAGGCTCCAGCTGGATCTGGGAAGGCAGACGGTGGGCGCGGAGCTGGCGGGAGAGGTGGACAGAGGAACGCTGGGGGGAAGATGGGCCATGCGGGGCCACCAGCAGGGAGAGCAGGACAGGACACCCTGCCCCCCCTGGCGGACACCACCTGCCCCCTGTCACCCGATCCTGGAGAACAGGTGCTCGGCTTTTAAGTAACAAGCCTCACGGTAGCCATACCCAGCCGTCAGCACGCGGCAAGACTCCGGGTGTCTTTAAGGAAACCATCCACACATGCTGTGCTCCTGTAAGCACGTGCTCAGAAGGAAATGTGGAAAGATGGTGGCACACCTGAATCTGAGGTCATTTGAACCAGTGTTTACCAAGCTGGCCACATGGTGACTGTGCATGTCACATGAGGTGCTGGAATCCTCAGGCTTATTTTACTGGTTGGAGGGAAAATCAGAATCACTTATGGATGCCAGGTGTCTTCCAATCCCATCCCAGGGTCCAGGAACTTACAGCCACCTATCACAAGCCCCAGCTCCTACAGGTGGTTTCACACACAGCCCAGCCGAGGAGCAGAGCCAAGCCCAGGCGCAGGGAGGGAAAGCGTCGAGGAACTGGAGTGGACGTGAGGGAAGGTTCAGCCACCCCGCTGGAGAGTGAGCGGCACCAGATGGAGATTGCAAACCGGCTGCCAGGGCTCCACGCATCCAACATGCAGCCAGATGAAGACCTTCAAAGATGTGGCCCCGGGAGACACCGCTAGCACAGGAATGCATCGGAATCCTCACAGGTCACCCCGAGAGGGGCTCGTTACCAAAGTCGGAGCAAGGTAAAATACTAATGAACCCCCCAAATAAAAACCAACATAGACATCACCCAGGTCCCAACAAGAGGTTTTAAAATCCTATCGATTAGAACATACAACATGCTATGAAGTCACCGCTAAAGGGTGAGCACTAGTTTTCTGTACAAGGTAACTAGGATGATCTAGATTTAAATGGAAAGGGATACTTGGAGTTTCGGACTCAGGGGTTATGTAGAGATCTCTGGCTCCATCACATGCAGGAAACCACGAGGCTCGTATCAACTTCACTGCAGATGGGGTCCCCGGGGCGACGCTCTTGGCTTGGTGCCCTTCCCTGACACCATCCCTCGACAGCCATGTCCATCCACACACGTGTCCAAGCAGACCCACGTCCTTCCACCTCGGACCCCACTGCCCCGCCCCAGAGAGCACTGGATCCCAGCAGAACCGGGCCGTGGCCTGGGACTGCTCTTCCCCATGGTGCCTCCATCACGGCCGGAAAGAGGAGTCCTAGGGCGCAGTGTTGAAGAGCAAAGAGGACACTCTGGGTACAGGATAATAAGTGTGTGGATCTGGTTTTGTGCATGGGAGAGAGAGGGAGAGAGAGGAGGAAGAGAAAGGAGGAGAAGGAGGCAGGAAGGAGGGAAGGGGAGCAGGAGGGGGGCACGCAGGAGGACGTGAATGTAGGAAGAGACCCTCTTCCCAGCAGAAAGTGTCACCTCTGACTCGAGCTGCACACCCACAGCTGAGACAGGCCCAGGCCAGCTCTGGTGGTGCTTCCTGGTGAGACGAAACAATGCTGGGTTCAAGATGGACCTGACAAGCACCTGGCCCAGGGTAAGCTGCTCAGCCCTAGAGCCCTGGCCACTGGTTAGAGTGGAGGGGGGCTCCAGGCTGTCACAGAGCAGGGTGACGACAAAACCCCACCCAAGAGCTGGCCGAGCATGTTCACATCCCTGTTCCTTCCACCAGCTAGATTAAAGGCTCTGTGAGCTAGCAGACCCAGGGACCCAGGGGTGGCAGGCAATGCCGCATTGCACCCCGGCTGGCCCTGTCCCCACCCATGCCTGATCAGATCATCCCCAGGGGTCAGCAGGCTTCGCCATGGCTGCTTCTGGGAATTCAGGGAGCCTGTGAGGTCTGGCAGCTCGTGCCCACCTCCTGGGACCCTGGGTACTCGGGGGACACGTTCCCCTCCTCCAGCTCCACCAGGACGGCTTCCCTCTCTGCTACGTCGCTCCACCCAAGGTAACTAAGGGCCACCTGTGCTGCACACACTGTTCAGGTAGCACATTTACCACTTTTGAGCTATTTATGTCAAGTTCATGGCAGGTGCTTATATTTCAGGCCCAGGTAGCGCTACGTTTAGCACGTTTACCAAGGTGGCTGAGGCTCAGAAACATATTTCCCACCCCTGAAGAAACATTAGCAAGTTGACATAAAACACAGAGCACTCCCACACTCCCACGCGCACACAGCCAGCCCAAGGAGGAAGACACCTTCATCAAGGGTTTTGCTGGAAGAGACCCTCTTCCTAGCAGGAAGCATCACCTCTGGTGACAGGTCTGAGATGTGCCTTAACACATGAAGGTCTTTGGAAAACCACTAACTGGGACGTTGTCTATCACGGGTCAGCAAACGACAGCCCATAAACCCAGCCTGGGAGGGAAACACTGTGTTGACTTATTTAAATGCTTGGGAAGAGGTCAGAAGATGATTTGGTGACATGTGAAAATCACTTGGAATTTAAATTTCAGTAGCCACAAATAAAGTTTTATTAGAATACAGGCGAGGTCACTTAGGTCTGGCCTGCAGAGTGCTCTCTACAAAGATCGCAGGGCCCTCACACCTGAGATACGCCCCATACACCCACACAGGGAGAGCCTGCCAGCCGTAGCTAAGCTTGCTTCTCTACTCTGGAGGTGCCAGATTCTAAATATATCTATATAAATATATATATATATATATATATATATAAATATATATATATATAATCTGTGTATAATTGTACATGTATATACATAACATAAATGTATCTACATGTATATATAAATATGTATTTATATAAATATACATATTTATCTATCTCACTATATAAATATGTATAAATATATCTATA